GGGGGGGCAGGTCTGAAGATAGTAGTAGTTAGGGTTTCCCTATCCCTTAAGCTACCGCGACAAACTTAAATTATTAATCAGGGGCAGTACAAGCGACTGATCAAATTTTCGGTAGAGCTTCGACGATGGCTGCAGTGGCCCGCTCTTTGCGGCGGCAGAACTGGCGTCTAATGGGAGTTACTCCGCTAACAGAAACGGATCGTGGTCAATGAGGCCACAGGCCTTGGTCATCTCACTACCCTACCCCACGTTTGTAAAGGGAATACAGCGACACAGGAATCAGCGCATTCTTGGTCTCGCACTGTTTTGTAAGGGTACCTATTGGACATGTACGGACACTCGAAGATCAAACCAATAGAGACGGTGAGGGATAGAGACCTGTTTAGGGCGTGACGCTTCGTCAGTGCTCAACCTTTAGTGGAAAATTATTGCGAGAAAGCCCAGTTAAGGGCACAGAAACCAGTTCGGTGTGTGCTAAATCATCAATTGATACGGATGGATGAGAACGCTCATCTGCACATTTCACGATGAGGTCCAAAAACAACCACTTCAAAGGAATGAACTTGCAATCTCACGCCTAGGGATAGTGAAACACCCCAACTTAGGCATGTATACGGTCCACCCTTAACCCCGACCTACATACACTTAAGGCGTCAACACGGGACCAGTAAGAACCCCAAGAGGACAAACGGCGATATACAAATTATACAATAGCTTTGTTTAAAAAATATGTCAAATCTGTTTAACGATAGAATTGCTGTCGAATCCTTTTCGGGAACCAACTCCCATACAAAACGCTAATCCTCGTCTGACGACTCCAAGACGGCGCGTTTCCTGCCGACGCGAGACACAGCGGAGGACCGGGATGGTGGCTCCTCGTCCTCTGAAGAATCCGGATGGTCTGTTTGTCCTGCTGACTGTTGAAGTGCCAAGTCAATCTCTCTATAAACGGTAGTGGGCAGACACGCAAAGAAACGGAATTAATGGGTTATTACGACCACATAGTTGCCAATAGAGGTGAATATGCGAGTTCCAGAAAGCAGTTCAGAAGAAGAAGATGCGACCACTGGAACGAAATTTTTTATTTGTCCTGACGTTTCGGATTCCGTCGGGAATCCTTAATCATAGGTAATGGTATTATAGTCATA